TCGAGTAGGCTACATCAACCAAAATTGGCAAATTTCTATATTTATGAAAGATTTGTGAAATTTAGAAAAAGTGTTACAAAACAAGTAAAGATGTAGGATAATAAACACCGCTACATTCCTTTGTGGTATCGAAAAAAGTTTTAAAAATGTCTTCACACAAAATGCAATAGACCATTCACAATCTTTCAAATTATGTTTGGCTCCGTATGTATGCCTACTTTTATAATATAGCAAAATATCTTTATCATAATTTTCACACTAATGTGATATAAGATATGTAGAGTTCCGTCTATGTGTTGCATTCGTGACAAATAATTTTTCTTGTAAGCATACTCTGTACACAAATTGTTAAATGCTTGTTTTTTGGTTGGTCGCACTGTAATAAAATTGATTGTTTGTCTAATTTTATCTAAAGACGATTTAATATGTTCTAATCCATCTTTTGCAATCAAATTGATAATGTGACATACACAACGTTGATGGAAAAATAAATTTTCAAATGCAAGGTTAATGTCATTAATAAATTTATCAGTAATAAGTTTGTTCACATCAGCATTATCAAAAGTAAAATTTCAAACCATTTCTTTCATACCATATTCTTGTATAATATCTTTTAAAATCATGTATTTATTAGTGTATTATGAGAGTATTCTATGCATTTGAATGCAATAATTCTTTTATGTAGAAGCTATATGTGATTAATGTAATAAGCAGTAGTAGCAATATAACATTTTTTATTAACACTGGTCCACAAATCAGAGGTAAATGATATAAAACTATTATAAGTTTTTAATTGTTCAATAGCAACTTGTTTTCTTTTGTTAAATAATTTCACAGTATATAAACGAAGAGTATTTCTACAATAAGAAATATTCCTGGGTTGGAAATAATTCTGCACAAGTCGAGTAAAGTGTATTGAGTCTATTATCGTAAGCGGTATCTCTGCCGCAACCACTTATGCAGTCATTCCTCCATGAAATCTTTCTTATGGATATACAAAGGTGGAAGAGTAAAACCGGTACCGTCAAACACTAGTTCGATTTGTTTTAGGTCGAGATTGACTAGTTTCGCTTTGTAACTTCTCAATATGCGCCTATTCAAATTATTTGTGCTTGAACCAGACTTCCAACTAAGTTCTTTGGCACAGTAATTACAATATGTTTTTCAAATATCAACTTCATTTTGAACATTAACTTTTTTATGCGTCATATATTGCCAACAATTTGAGGATTCCTTATTCGACCTTTTAGTAGTCTCGAGTATTTCTTCCTCTTCGATATCCTCCAAATCAATCGGAACATTTTGAGATGTATCGTAGCCACATGGAGTACTCAAATTATCTTTAAACTGATTAATCTCATCACTAGTAAAATTCATCTATATTCTATAATTATTATAACAAAAAATACTGAATATTAGAGCAAAGAAATTAGAGATTGAAGTGGAAACATGAAACTAGAATACTGCAAGTTAAAATTGATTGAAGAAAATTGATATGAAATAGAGAAATTCAACCCATATTTATAACCAAAAAATCAAACCGTTTAAACTGAATTTCAAATTTCAAATTCATACACGATCAAATTGCTTCCTATTTAAGGCAGCCATGTGTGGCTGCCTTATAATATGTCGTTTGCCTTAATGGGTAGCTTAACCAACAAAAAAGTTTGCTGCCATTTTTTTTTTTTTTTTACTTTTTTCGGCTCAAGCCGAATGGCCCGTAAGAGGAGTCGACCCGTGCTGCTTGTCGAGCTCGGGTCGACATCCAAAATAAGGCTTGGCCCGGGCCTCGGCTTGATTTTCTTGAGCCACGAGTCGGACCGGTTCGGATTTTTTCGAGGCCAAGCCACGAGCTCCCGAACCGACGAGCCCAATTTACATCCTTAGTTACATCAATCAATATTTTCAATTTCTGGTTATAAACAAGTGTATATATTAACTTTCCTCACTTTTAATGGAATGGATATTGTGGAAGGAAAAAAATTCATAAATCAGGTAAGTATCACTAATTCAATTGTCAGGTCTTAAGTTTAAAAATGAAATAATCGTGTATTTATTTATTAATTAAAAATATTTTATTAATTAAATGTAATAATTCACATTTATACAATTAATGGTCACATGAACATAATTATATGTCACAACTTATTTATTAATCACATATTATCAAGTTAATTGATCATAGATTATTTCAATGTCACAAATCAAAAATTTAACAGGCCACAATTTATTTCGTTGTTCACGGGTCAAAAAATTTATATGTCAGAATTTATCTATCAATCACATATTTTCAAATTTGTTGGCCACAAATTTTTTTTTTTTAATTTCAAATTATCAAATTTTAATGTCATAGTTTAACAGTTAGTCCGTTATTTTGTTACAAATCAACCAAATAGTTGGTCTCAAATATTCTTCATCCTATCCCGTTATTGTCGCCTCTACCACCACCACAACCACGACCAACAATAACAACACAACACAACACCACGACCACAGCATCACCACCTCACCACTATAACCATCACCACCAACCAGACTTGAACCAACCAACCCACCATACAGCTTATTTGTACCATAACTGGTCAAACACCACACACCAAAAATGCAGCCATGACGTCGCCAACACCACTGCACACACACCCACCACCATCGTGTCCAACCACATGCTATCATCACCACCACCACCAACAACAACCATATTTGCTGTGATTTTCGACGATGGCGGCCGTGTGTAACGGAAAGGATAGAGAGATGGAGAGAGGGGGGATGGGAAGAAGAGGGGGAAGAGAAGGATAAAAGGCAATTTTAGTGAGCGCGACTCGCTGCTCATAGTGACGAGCTCTGGTATGGTCTCTGGCAACAACTGCAATATATGACAAGGAGATACACGCACAGAGAGGGGGGGAATGGAACGAAGAGGGAAAGTAGGGAGAGAAAATAATTAGGGTTTTAATTGGGTGGATGGGATAGGGTGAGAATATATAGTTGAAATTTATTAATATTATTATATATATTAAAATATAAAATTGGTAACTGATTTTTGCATAAATAAATTTTAAACCTTATTTTTGAAATTCAATTCTTAAACACCTGCATAGATGTAATTTCCACATTGTGGAAACTATGCCCGCTATGAATCCTATCCGTGTTGTTTGGCTTGAATTATAGAATATGAAAACCTCAGGGGCCATTTTGCATGCCTCTAAAATTTCAGAGAACAATTTGACGGTTTCTAAAACTTTAGGGTCGAAAATGACACTTTTAAAAAATTATGGGATCTATATGAGAACTTCTTAAGCCTCATGGACCAATTTCTTATGCCAAAAAGTTCAAGGAAGATCCTGTAGAATTGAAAAATTGGAGGTGCTGAGATGTAGGTTTTGATAATTCACGGACAAATATGCAAACTTACGAAAAATGGGGATCAAGCTGGAAAGTTTCAGTAATTCAAGGACTAGTTTACAACATTTGAATTACGACATATTTGCCAACTAGGATGAAGTTTCAAGTAAACTGGGGGATCATTCAGAAGAAATGGAACACGTCTTTAGGATAGTGGATTATCTATAGCATTTTAGGAAGTTCAATAATTTGTCGACCAAGAAAGATGATGGTTCGATGTCAATCTAATGAGAGAATGAGATTATAAGTAAAGATAAATCATATAAGAGAATTCAAAGTGATATAAGACAATTGCGTAGAGAACATGGAAGGGGATCCACCTTTAATGGTGAAGCATATCAATAGACTACGAATTCAATCATAAAACTCAACCTTTTCACCCTTGAGCTATTGACTATGTAGGTGATGCATTTGATTATGTCCATGAGATGATTGTTGAGTTGGGAGATTTTTTCGATTGGTTTTAATTAGTTTGTATGCTTGCTACCGTCTAGTGAGTATGAGTCACAAGATAGACCTAATAAGAACCTAAAGACATGGGAGGAGCTTTATTAAGTCCAGTGCAATCCAATCTGTCTGCACCAGACTTAATCACTTCAGCATACTTGAAAATTCCTTCTCGCCCCACACATGTTATTCAAAGAAAAAAAAACAAATAGAATTTAGTCCCCGTTTGGCCCCAATTCTTTTTCATTTTTTCCTCTCTCTTATTTTTAACCACACAATCTTTAGAGATAGGGCCAAAAAATTTGTTCAGTGCGAGCATATACAACCCACGTCGAACATTGAGTTTTGATCATGAGTTTAATGATGATAAAACTATAGAACAAAATCACCATAATACTAAAAATGAAATAATTTATAATTAAACGTGTTCCTTGTAAGTTTTCATACTTTGATATCGTTGTACAATAATATTATTATCAAGTAATTGAAAGCAAAAATAAGTAATTGGAAGCAAAAGCAAATGAAACATAAATCAGCATATGCCTAAAATCAAGCAAAATCATGGGTCATTGCTAATATTAAAATAAAAAATATTGGGTTGGGCCTAAAAATTCATAATAAACTCTCTCTGACAATCTTTCATAAAATAATATTACACGTAAATCGAAAAAATTTTGTTCTTTTTCAACCCACATTCTTCAAAAAAATATTATTCCAAACATTAAAATTTGAAAAAACTAGGGACCAAACGGGGTTGAAAAAAGTGAATACCTTCCACGAGTCCCAACAGACAACATCTTTTTTTTTTTGGAAATAATGAATAACTGTCCCTACCTCTTGCATTTATCACAATATGTATTAAATATTATGCAATATATATGAATTTAATTATTTATCTATTGAAAGATATATTTTTGAAAATTAATAATGATGCATAGAATAAGGATAAAATCAAGGGAGATCCAATATTTTTTTCTCATTCAGCATTCTCTATTTCTCTTACTCCCTTTTACTTTTCTGTCTCTAGATTTCTCGCCTACCCTAATTTTGTGCTATTTATCTTGTTAATAATATACATCACCAATAGATATGGTTTTTCTAGAAAAATAGTTAATTATTTCATAATTCATTGAGCCCAAAAGAATTAAAATTCTTTTATGCATTTAATAATCTTATTATTTCATAAATTCGTTGAGCCCGAAAAAATGTATATGTTAAAATCCATTTTTGTTAAAAAGAAAGGGAGAAAAAATTGTCTCTGTTTATCATCTTCAAAATCAAGCATTGTAAAAATAGATTCCATGTTGCATGGCGAAAAGGCTCCGAAAAACATATCTTCTGAGTTAGAAGAAGCCGAATTCAGTGAACCCCATTAATTTCAGTTACCAGAAATTCTGAGCACTTTCAACACCTGTACAGTATCTTCTCTCTACAATTCCCTCTGTGTGTGTGTGCGCGCGCGCGTGTGAGAGAGGGGTGGGGGGATTGTATGATGCATTTAAGGTAAAATTAATGTAATGAATTTATGATTTTGTAGTATTATTAGCTTTAGATTATCATCACACACGCACTCACTGCTCTCTGCTTTTACTCTCTCACTCCCATATGTGTGTGTGTGTGTGATTTTGTATGATGCATTTATGATAAAATTAATGTAATAAATTTGTGATTTTGTAATATCAGCTTTAGATTACCATCGCACACTCACTCACTGCTCTTTGCTTTGACTCTCTCACTCTCCAAAACATTTGTGCATAAAAACAAAACACCATGAACGAACAATACACAAATGTCACTAAAATCCGGCCTTTTCATCACTGTAATTTGGCTAAATTGCGTGGATTAAATCAGACCCAGTTTTCATTTTCATTATTTGTAACCACCTATTCTCTCCATAAAATCAACACCGCCGCCGCCTCTGCCACCGCTTTTTTGGAATTTGAGTTGTGGGTGTTGTGCTTTGATGGCGAAAAAGAGAATAATGGAGAAATTCGAGGCACATTGGAATCGGAGAAGTAGCAGCAGCCAGGAGCAAAGGGAGGAGGAGGAGGAGCCGTCGAATGGAGTGGGTGATCTTTTCTCCGGGCCGGGCTTCAATAATATTCACAGAGGTTCCAGAATGGCCCGGGCCAGGAGGACTAGCCTTGATTCCCTCAAATTTCCCAAGCCGCACGTGCCACCTCCACCTCCTCCGCCCGTACGTGTAAACTGTCATATTTTTTTATTTATCATTATAAAAGTGTTCATGCAGGCCTCTTATAAATCTTTATTCTCCGTATTCACATGCATTTAGTAGTCGATGCTGCTATATAATTCTCATAAGTTGAATTTGGGAAGATGATTTGATGCGGAGAAGCCATGTATGTGGATTAAGTTTATTTTCTTATGCATGTGCTATAGCTATAGCTATAGCTATAGCTATTAAAGGTCTGAATGTTAGTACTAAGATGGATAAGTTGAAAAATGTGAGAATACACACCAATTGGAGGTGGTAGCATCAAATTAAGAGAGACAGTCAGGTGGTTGGGTTGTGTTTCGACTCTTCCGTCAACGTAAAGAAGCCTTGTTCATATGAGATCAAGTTAGAAGGAGGCGTGACCAAAATTAAATAAGGATCTAGATACTTCAGCAAAGTGGAATCATGATAAAAATTTATTTGGCCGACTCAACTTTTTTGGGAGTAAGGCTTAGTTGTTGTGCCTAAACAACGCCAGGACGTGGCAAGTCCATCAATTGACAATTCGACATGACAGGTCCAAAGCATCCATAGAAACCGAATACGTGACTAAGATTCGATCAAGGCAAAGTTATAGCTCAAAATAGCAACAACTAAGCTACTGTACTCACAAAATCCAACAAATGGACGCTGGCCAAGCTAGAAAGCCTCAACCTGTGGCACACGAAGGAAACTGTCCTATATTTCAAGCTTTACAATTACACACTAAATCTAGATTCTCTCTAAGAAATTTTATATAGCTTTTGAGTAGAAATGAGCCATACTAGTGATGGTGACTTGATCAATGACATTCATGAGCCGTATAAGGTAATCCTGCCCAAAGGCAGTTTAGGTGACACGAATTTAACACAGGAGAGAAATAGGGAGGGGAAGAGAAGAAAGGAGAGGAGGAGAAGAAATGGGAGGAAATAGAGAAAAATTTAGAGGGAAGAAGATATCAATATTCAATCTTAATCTTCTTGGATATCTTCAATTCCTATTCTTGTTCTCAATCACTAGGAGAACCTCATTGGAAAACTAGATGGTGGCTTTGAGCCAAAGTTTTTAAACCTTGATAGACTCTATGCAGACAGTCGAAACAGTGACAATTAACACAACTATCCATCAAGATTGAAGGATATGGAAGCAAGGCAACTACCTGGAGTCATTTTGAACTCAAAACCACTAGTAAGTTTTAGCAACAATGGATGTGGGGTGTGGAGCACGGCCAACACTTCTTTGCTCGTCCGAAAGCACCTCTTGCCCTAGCAAACGTAGAAGTTGCCACTGTTTTCCATTTATCCACATGCTACCTTTTTGCTGACAGGGCCTAGAAGGCTATTGGTGGAGGCTTCTGCAGTTGTGGAGAAAGCAGAGATAAGCCAGAAATTGGCGGAGTCCTTATTGGAGGTGCCTGTTTTTCAAGCGGCTTTGAAGTGAGCTTTCCGACACTTTGGAAACATAAGCTTCATAAAAGTCAATTTGGGAACGAAGTATACAACCAAAACATTGTATTTTTGCGAAAAATGGACAAGTTGTTTATCTCAGTTTTTCACGATGATAGACTGTCGTGAGGTTATGATTACGAGGATCTGGTAGTTTCTTTGCTTGGCACTTAATATACAGTCTTAATCCTCTCTTAATAACAGCAACAGAATTAATCTCAGCTGAGCTTAAGTCATGCATGGGGAAACCCAGGTTTGCCAACAAAGATAGACGGGTGAGTGGAGCTAGCTTCATATAGAGTAGGAGGCCCCGGATGGCCTCAGAACTATTCAACCACTATTCAACAACAAAAAATGAGGGTAGCAGTCGATATGGTCCGTGCCACAGGGAAACATACGTCAATAGGCTTGGGGGAAATGGAAATATAACATAGAAAGCTGGTGGACTTGGAGCATCCCCCCGGAATTCCATGCCAGAGGTAGACATTTATTGGTTATAATTTTGGGAGTCGCGAACTGGTGACATTGCTAGAAAACAGAGGAAAGAAGGATCCTGAATTTTCTAGCTCGACCTAAAAGCCTACTGGTTAAAGAAGATTAAGATATAGCTAGTTCAAGATATTTGATCTTTCAAATTCAAGTACTAGCACTATGTAATGACTTCACATGACAAAATCTGGAACCACTGCCAGATGCTTCCAGAAAAGTGGCTGTCAACTAGAGTCTATTTGTCATATTTACGTTGATAGTAACAAAGCACTCATACTAGGCATTTGATCATAAATGCTTTCACAATTTACAAAGATTGTACTATTTTGAATTTTAGCAGCAATCACTCGGCCATTGCAACTAATCTTAAGAAAATAACTAGTGGTGGTTGCCCTTTTTATTTCTTTTTTTGTGAGAACTCGTGGGAGGTTGAAAGCCTTCTTTAATTTCAGGCAAAGATCCAGTCCTGGCCAAACCGCTTCTAGAGTATTTGTGTCTTTGTTTTAAGTTTCTACTTGCCTTGTATATACATAGCATATGAATTAAAATTAACTACTAAACCTACAGAGCTTTAACATTTGAACAAACTTTCTATACACAATTTATTCATGCAAATTTAGAATCTATTCTCCAGATATTGGGCACATGGAATGGAACTTTCAGAAGGAAAAACTGATTTTAAGCAGTTTGAGTTTATCTTGAACTTGAAATGATTATGTTTCTCTCTGTTATATAGTTCAAATTAAGATGTGTTTTGGAATATTTTAACAGGCAAAATGTTTGATGTTTTAGGTAATTGATATTACAAAGCTGAACTATCTTTTCAAGAAGCAGCTCAAGAACAGTGATGTAAGCACCCTCAGACGAATTGTGATTCCGAAGGTTTGCAACTGAACTTTCAAATTTTCAATACCACTGGCTTCTTATATTTGTATTATACTACCAAATGTTTTTCAGTCATTTTCAGGAATTTATTTTCATTCGTTTTTCTCTCAAACTATAATCAATAGCATCATGTGAACTAAGAATCAATTAGGTACAGAACTATAACTACTATCCAGAAGTCTATTAACCCAGACGCTAGAGCTGCCTGTTCTAGAGCCTAACTATGATGATTATTTTCAGAAAGAAGCTGAGGCTTATCTTCCTTTCCTTAGTGCCAAGGAAGGGATTACTATCAACATGCTCGATATGGATGGGGTTCACGAATGGTGTTTCAAATTCAGGTTTGTTTCAACTGTTTTCCTTCTGTGACAATAAACTCATTCTGGTTTGTCACAAATTAAATCATCTTTATAATAGGATGCAGTAATTCTAGTCTCACATTTGTTATTTGATGTATTTTTAGGCAAATTCTATGGGCTGTTTGTATGTCCTCTTCTACTTGTGCTATTATTGAATTTGTATTTTATAGTGCCATTTTGGCTCCTTGTTATATTTCAAATCTTCAAGGCAAGTCGATTAACACCTTGCTTGGAAGTGATTTTTAACATGTTTTGTGCAAATATACATTACCTCAGCCAAATATCGTGAAGTGGCTTTGAGTTTAATGATTTAAGAATTACGTTTCTGAAACTGGGATTTGACAACCTAAGCCTTGAGATTCTAGCTACGGAAAATGCGATTTCCCATCATATAATTTAGGAGTTTGCTAAAGACCAGATAATATTCTACTTTCACTTAGATTGTGTGTTTGACTCAATGGCTTCAAAATACTATGGAAAGATTAGTTGGCAGTGTATACAATAAGTTGATTATATTTCAATACTAGTTCATCAATATACTAATTGTTTATTCAATGTTTAATATGTAGTAACAGTTTGTATTTTCTTTTTAATACAGATTCTGGCCAAATAATAGTAGCAGGATGTACGTGCTTGAGTGCACTGGTATGATTCTCAAAAGAATCTTCTCTTTTTGATGCTGATTGAATTCAATCTCATACTATATTATCTTGTCAAAACCTGGTTAGGTGATTTTGCAAATACGCATGGCTTGAAACCTGGGGATTACATTATATTGTACCAAACTACTGGACGTGAAAAATATGTATGCACCTGTGTCATGGAGCTTTATGAATTTTGAAAATTTTCATTCTTAACGTTTCTTTTTATGATTCTTGTGGACATTTATTAGATAATTGAAGCTAAGAAGGTGGATCAAATCCACAGATAAGTTGAGCTTTGCATGGAGATGCTGGTGATTTTCTGGGGGGGATCGACAGAAACTCAATCCTCCAGAGCCATGGACAACATATTTTGTTGATTCCCAGATAGAACTTAGAGCTGGTTGATGGTGTGAGTTGAAAGCAACATACAAACATACATATATAGATTACCTTTATAAGGGGCAACATGCAACATAACTTGGTTGTTGTATTGCCCTTTGTGTGCTTTTTATATTTTTTTTCCTCCTATATTTGAAAGGACAAAAAAAAAAAAAAAAAGAGAGAAAATCATCTGGTGTATCATTTCTGCTGATTTTTATGAATGTTGCAGCCTTTTTCCATATATATTTTCGTCTTGCTCTGCTCTAGGTTGCTAATTTCTTCTAGTGATGGCAATTTACCCTGTCCCGTCCCGTGGCGAGGCGTGGGGCCCCGTCCCGCCCCTTGAAGAAAAAGTAAAAAAAAAATTAAAAATAATTTTATTTTTAAACAATTCATCCGTTAAAAACTCATTTTAAATTTGTATTTTATTATCTAATAATAACATAATTCGAAACTTTTAAAATGTAAAAATAAAAATAAAAAAAATTAAACGGGGCAAAATGTTGCCCCGTCCTTGCCCCAGCCCCACCCCGTCTAAGGCGAGGCAGGGCACGGGGCGGGTTGGGGTTCTTGCCAAATGCTCCGAACCAGCCCCGTTGTCATCACTAATTTCTTCAAGTTCTACTGTTGCTAGCTAGCGATTTAACACGCTCATGGTGCTAGTATTTTATTCCCAATTCTCACACGCTCGACTTCTTACAACCCCCATTTCTTTTTTTCCTCATATTGCTCTTACATTCAAGTGAAATAGATTTCCAATATTATTTTTTTCGTTTTCACTTTTTTTGTTAACTAGGTGTGAAAGTATGAGTATACTAAAAAGAAATGATATATCTACTATTTCTAATAAATTCTACTTCTAAAATAAATTTTTATATATATTTCAAACAATTTAAAATCATACAATGCATCGAAATAATATTCTTTTCTGTTTCGTTTTAGTTTAACTTTAAATGGAAATAAAAATACAATGAATTGGACCTTCCTAGACCATAATATTAGCAGGTTTGCATGTCGATCAATAGTTTAGTTCGTAAAAAAGGTTGGGACCATATTCTGTATGCTGTTGATTACTGCGATCTGATTCTCTCATTATATCACTCTTTAAGATTTAAGTACCTCATTTCTCAAGCCATATTTGTAATGCACCATAAGAAAACAAAGCAGGCATATTAGCCTTTCATCGGCCCATTACATTTCTCGTCTCGAAGGTGAAATACTTCAGAGGGACAAGCTAACATGCACACATGGTAGGACCGTTCATTCAAATCACAACTCGAACTCTAAACCTCCTAGGGGTCGTGTCTTGATTTGGAGTCCGAGGTCTCGTGATTTGAGTGGACAGTTGTATTATGTGTACATATATGACTGCTCCACTAAAGTTTTTCTCATCTCGTTGACACATTTTCACACTCCTAGCACAATTCTAGCAGAAAAGTCTCAATCTGTTCAAAAAATGTGGAGAATTTGGCCCTTTAAAATAGCAAATTATCCGAACATAAACATCATCACAGTATTAAGGATGCAACGAATACTCTCCACCTACTAAAATGCCACCCAAGTCGGCATCTACTAGTCTATGTTTATTGACTCCTTTCTGAAAATAAGTACCAGCCATAGCAGGTGGTTCTACGCCATGGCAAGTTTGGTGGCAACAGATGAAGGAGCAGCAGCAGGAAAAGTAAACACCTCCAATTGCTAGCCTGAAATCAAAATTGCAAGTTACCAAATCAGCCTCCAGCAAATAATGGAACACCAATTGAACAATGAATAATGCTACTTGTCTGTAAGCACATAATGGTTTACAGACAACTGAGATGTTAAAAAGTGAGTGGGAAAGTTTTTCATTTTTATTTGGTTCAAGAAATTCTATCTCAATCATATTTCACCACATCATGTGTATGTAAAACATATTTGAGTGTCGTGAATTCACCGGATGTTTCCTAAGAAATCCATGCCAGATGCTCCTCCTAGTAACCATGTAAACCTATACATACATGTAGCATAACTGTTGAACAATAAACACGTGCAAGCACCCTCACATATTGCCACCATTGAAACATGGGAAGGCATTGGATGTGAAATCATGGTGAATAAATGAATTCTGGCATGGGTACAGAAGGGTCCAATGACGTATACAACTGCATGAAGGTAAAGCACACCAAAACCTCACTCGGCTTTAATATGGGCCCATTGGATGTCTTCGAAAGACGGAGAAGTGTCCTTCTCAAAATTCAAAAGGCGATGATGAATCGCCGGAGTTGTGCTTTGGGACGCCGTTTGATCCCTGGTGGCTGGAAACCAACCCAAATCAATCGGCTCCCAACAACAATAAAGAAACTAGAAGCCGCAGTTCAAAAAAGGTTCTTTCTTTAAAGAAATGATTGGGACCAGCCCATAGAAAAAACTTTGAATGCATCATAGATACCCCTCTTTTCTCCAGTAAGAGTTCCAATCATGACAATCGTCCATGATTAAATAGACCCCACAGAACAAGCTTCTTTACAGCCTGCAGCAATTGAGAAAAGAATAACATAGTAAGGTAAGAAATAAGCATACGAAGAACCAGCATGCAAGAAATCATAACAATCAGATCTCAAACAGACACATCATCCTTGACACTATTGAGGAAAGAGACGAGGTAGTCAGCAGGATGGGATACAACACCGCAGAAAACACCAGCTACATATTGATAGGCCCCTATGATATATTTATGTTTCCATCAGTTAAATAGTTACAGTGGAGAGGTATTCTGGGGATTACAAAGTGTATAGGTGTCTAACTATAAACAGGGTATAGGAGGTTCATTTCAAGGTAGGCATAAATTAGGGTCTCAAGCTAAGCCTCTCAAAAGCTTAGCACCTCACAGTAATTCATTTCTATTTCATTCAGCACAAAATATGTAAATACATACACATTTTGTATTCTTCAATTGCGAGTTAAATAACACAAAAATCAGGTTCCTATCACACTAACAGGAAAACTCACACCAAGCTGCAAGGGCTTGCTGCACTTTTGGGTGTGGGAACTGTGAGCAACTATCTCCAAAATATTCTTCAAGCACACAGCAACTGTGTGAGCTCTGCTTATTATTTCTCCAGTAGGCATGTCCGACCAATCTTGATTCTCTTGAGTGCTCTCAGAGAATTAATATTATTTACCTGGAAGGTGCATTTTTCACACTAAGCAACACTAAGCACATAACTTGGCATCTCGATTCTAATTATATATATGCTCTACAGAAGAACTAATATGATATTTACAATTTCTAGTGTATTGCAAATGAGTTGGGTCAAAAAAAAAAAACAAAACATTCTTATACAAAGGCATTCTAAAAGCTACCATATTCTTCCTTCAAGTGGGCTCTATTCTATTGTTGATTCCAGGAAGTAACTAGTCCTGAATCATTGCCAAAAACAAACAAATAAAAACTAAAAATAAAGGAGGGAAACCATCAAGAGACGCAAAAATCAAGAGTACTAGCAAAACGTTAAACTAGCAACTCAGTACATCTAGGACAAACAAAGCAACTATAAATGTCAACAGTGTCAGATAAAAAGTGCCAGTTCTATGATTTTATTCCACTTCATTTGGCACCTGCCTTAGAAAAAATGTACTGGATTTGGGATCCTCATCACTGTACTTATAAGCATTGCTCATCAAGAGAATTAGTCGATGATCATACCAAATTATATCCTGATGGTCTGGTGGAAATTCATAGGTACCATGAATTCAAATGACTACGAAAGCTCGTCATAAAAACTATTATAGAGCACATAGCATACCTGCTTTTAGAATATTATCGATGCAACAGAGAAACAGCTACACATCTTCTCTAACTGGGAGACTAGAAGATAGGGTTTGGGTTAATCTAGATTTTAGTAGTTTTATTTATTAGGAGTTATGTTTATCAATTAGGAGCTTTTCATTATTTTGACGTTATCTTTTACTGGTTTTCTTAGATTGAAGGAACTTTTTCTATATAATAGGGTGTTAGGTTTTCATTTACAAACAACTTGATTATTGAATACAATTATATTTCTTCCTCTAAATTCTCTCTTCTATATCTTCTCCTCTTTCTCATGTCTCTGTATCTTTAATTATTCATTGTCAAATTGTTATGTTTGTCATCAATTTGGTGTCAAATCTTGGCGCTCTCTGATTGAATTGATTTTAACGTGTGCACTATGGTTTTACTGAATGGTGATTGTAACAGCTTTCCAAAATACCACATCCTCTAACAAAAAACACCACCATAAATTATTAATCTAAAGGCAGTAATAGCTCAAAGAAAAATCTTCCAGCACCACCAATCCCACCAAAAAAAAAAAAAAAAAAAGCAGCATTCGAAACACGAAGTTTGTTAATTCTTTTTACGTAATTAGCATATAATGTCTCTATCTTTCACTATTATTGTGCTACCTTCCATTTTTTAGCACTTTCATCCTTATTTATACCTTTGATTGTGCAAAACGTCCTTCCATCTAGCTTCTCCTTTAAGTGAACACATGCAGTCAATTTTATTTTATTTTCCCAAAATAGAAGGGTATTATTGTCTAAACATTTCCCCCTTTCTTCATCAACTAAGACCACAAATGAAGTTCTAATTCTTCACTAACCAAGAACATCGTCTTCTACGCAACTTGAAGATTCTCACCACCCTATTCTTGGTGGTCAACCGCCCGCTCATATGCAACAGTGCCACCAGCCTCTTCACTGTTTCATGTACCAGCATTTCCTCCAAAACCCTTTATGTGGAATGAAACTTGCAAAGCAACCATACAATTTTCATGCCAATTTTTGTTGCAATATCTGACACATTCAACAATTTATTGCATATGGCTGCAATTTCTAGATCGTGTTCAATAAAGGCCAATATTCCATCAGCACATTCACATATAAATTTGATTAATTGCATTATTTTCTCATACTTCGATCTGTTTTGAGTCTGAAAGAAGCTCAAGCAGGGTACAAACCGCACCAACTTCAATGGCTTTTAATTAGCTTTTCTTCGAGGCAACCAAGATTCCTATAAGCACTTGTAGGGCACATGAACTTGCCTTTGTACAAATTTCATCTGATGTTATTTTTAGTAATGACTTGAAAAATTATACATCTTGATCTTGTGCAACATAATTCCAATGATAATCAGCTTTAGCCATCTTCTGAAATATCAAAATGGTACAAAATCATGCCTCACTACTTCCTCTTTGAAGCTTTATAGACTCGGATTTCATACACTCAGGCTTCATCAACAACAGAATTGACTCATCATCTTGTTCCTCAGAAAAAATGATTTCATACACCTACTCTGTTCTGAACTAGATTTGGGAAGAAGAACCCATAGGACCATTATTCATATTTTTTGGTCTTGGTTGATGAAGAATTGGAACTCCTTCGTGGTCTTAGTTGATGAAGAAAGGAGGAAAATGTTTTAAGAAATTGACTACGCACGTTCACTTAATGGAGAAGTTGGATGGAAATGGATGGAATGACGTTTTGCACAATCAAAAGTGTAAATAAGTGTGAAAATGCCAAAAAAATTGAAGGTATGGACATTTAATTACCCATTGTTTTTAGTAATTATTAGTTTCAACAAAAAAATGAGATTTTGTCAATTTTCATCTCCATCTTGCTAAGTTCAGCCCAAGATTCAGAAGTCAAATCGTTAGCCCATATTAAAACCAACCCATCACAACATCATCCAAACCTGAAAGTCCATCAAGCCCAAGCCCATAAACCAAAACCTATCAAGCCTAAATCAACCTTGAACACATTCACCCAATCCAACCCACACCACATCCTTCCCCTTTCCAAACCATAAAACAACCCCACCTCCAGCCAATGTCTTTAGCACCGACAGCCCACACATCCTTTTGGGTCGACCCAGGCTTTATGATTACAATTTAAGCACTTTGGGCGTCGCAATATTTTGAGTTTTCTATCACAACAAGCCTATTTATCTTCTTCTGGCAAAGCTCTCTAATCCCCTAAGCTACATACAATCTAATTCAACTATTGTCCCTTAAAGAATTTGAGCGCAAGGGTCACGACACTGGGTTGATGTTTTCTTTAGCTTCCAAAGCTTGTTTTTAACCCTTTTCTGAGTCAAACATTGAATTTTCACTTGAGGTCACGCCCTTGCTAAAGGAGTTTAACAATTTCATAACTATTAACCAACCCGATGAGCTCCCTCCTATGCGAGATACTCAACATGCTATCAATCTAGTCTATGGTTCCCAATTATCGAATCTTACCCACTACAGGATGAACCCCTCTAAGCCAATTGAGCTAAAAAATCAAATTGAGATTTACTAGTTGTAGATTTTACTCGTCATAGCATTAGCCCTTGTGTGGTCCCTTACTTCTCTAAGAAAGATGGCTCCTGGAACACGTGTCGATAGTCATGCCATCAACAAAATCATTGTTAAATATCAATTTCCTAATTCCCGCCTTCAGAATATGTTGAGGGTCTGTTCGTTAATGATTTTAAGAATTGATTTTTTGATCGTTAGGAAAAAAGTGAAGGCCACCCGTGATAGAAGTAAAAAATTATGGCTGAAATAGTGAAATAACGGTCAAAAAATCAAATTTTTAGGATGAAAAATCACTTCCAAATGGGCTTGAATAAGCTGGCAGGATCTTTATCGTTTTCCATGATTGATTTACGAAGTGGTTATCATCATATTAGTATTAGACCAAGGATGAATGAAAATGGCATTTAAGGCTTAGGACAGTTGTAGGAATGGGTAATTATGCATTTTGGGATGTCCATTGAGCCTAAAACTTTTATGAGGGTCATGAATCATGTCTTGCGACCTTTTATTGGGAAATTTTTCATGGTCTATTTTGATGATATCTTGATTTATACTCGATCGTGAGAGGCACACTTGGATTACCTTCGACAGACCGTTGTTAATCTTTGTTTTACGAAATTGTATGCTAGTTTCTTCCTACAATCATAAGTCCTTTTAGGGTGCATCTGTTCCGCCCCAAAATATTTCTACTAATCCAGCTAAAAGCCGTATAATTCATAATTGGCCTGAACTTACAACGTTGACTAAAGTCATTAGTTTCTTATGGGCTAGCTTCCTTCTATAGGAGATTCATTCAAGACTTTTGTTCTATCATCGCTCTCATCACCGAGTAAACGTAAAACAAAAAAAGGAAATATTTTTTGGACCCTTTCTGCCTAGAAATCATTCTTCATTGTTTAGCAAAAGTTGATCGAAGCTCCCATTTTACGGCACCCTTATCTTTCTAAAATCTTCAAGGTTACCTACAATGCATCTGTTGTTAGTATAGGCACATCTCAAGTCAAGATGGTTATCTCGTCACTTACTTTCGTGAGAAATTAAAACAATCTCAACAAAAGTATTTTACTTATGAAGGTGAGTTCTATAACATTTTCAAGTATTTATTGATTGGGGAGTTCATTTTCTATTCTAACCATCAGGTTCTTTGTTATCTCAATTCTTAGTATAATATGAGTGATTGACATGTTAAGTTGGTCGAATTTCTTCAAGGGTGCACTTTTGTCCTCCGCCACCAAGCTTTTGAATTCTTGAAGGACGATTATCCTAGATGTCTCGTGTTTGACATAATCTTTCGAAAACTCTTAGCTAACTCCTCTTGTGACCATGTTGGTTTCTTGCCTAAAAATAGTTATCTTTTCAAAGGAATCAAATTGTGTATCCCATGTACCTGGCTTCATGACTTCCTTGTCTAAGAACCGCATGTAGAGGGGGCTAGCAAGTCAGTTTGCTGATTACATTCATTACTTGCATGACAAAGTTAAGCAAAAAATTTCTTTCAGTAATAACCACTACAAACTGGCAGTTGATTCATATCGTAGGCATGAAAAATTTAATGTTGGTGATTATCTTATAATACGACTTGCACCTGAACGTTTTTCAAAACGTGCAGCTAAGAACTTTGTGCTAGATCGCTAGGGCCATTCCATATTATAAAAAAAATTCAAACTAACGCTTACCTACCTGATTTGTCAACACACTTAAATATTAGTAATGCTTTTAATATAGCAAATTTATATCCTTCCCGAGGTACATTCGAGCATCCGATTTTATTCTCTAACATATCTATAGGACAAGCTTCTCATCTGCCCCCTCAAGCATTCGTCACCACATTTTCACTTCGAGATATCGTTGATAGGGTGTTCAACGATCAAACTGTTGCTTCACAATATGGTGGTTTCTGTAGGTTTCTGGCACATGGAAGGAACGTTCATCTAGTAATTCTACTTGGATTACTGAAGATAAGTAACGGCACTTGGATGCGAAGTTTTTGGATATCTTTCTGTTTTTGCATTATACCTCATCGGAGTCGTGTTCTTTTTAGCTGACGAGGAATGACCTAATAGAGAAACAATCACAGGTCTACTCAAGGCGAAAGACTAGAAGATAGAGTTTGAGTTAATCTAGATTTTAGTAGTTTTATTTATTAAGGGTTTCGTTTATCATTAGGAGTTTGTTATTATTTTAATATTATCTTTTACAAGTTTTCTTATACTTAATGACATTATTTCCATATAAAAGGGGCTTGGGTTTTCATTTACAAGCAACTTGATTATTGAATACGATTATATTTCTTCCTCTAAATTCTCTCTTCTAAGTCTTCTCTTCATTCTTATGTTCATCATCGGATATATTCCTATATAACAAAATACAAAGTGCAGATTTACACTCACTAGATCATGCAAAATTGTCATACTTTTTTTTTCTCTCTATCATTGTAAAAACTTCAACGAATACCCGAGCTGAGGAAAAATTACTTGGAATGAACTTTTTCTCTCATAATCTCAATAATGTTGCACTTGAATCCAATTATAATAACATAATCAACGTCCCATGAATTTTTACAATATATAATCGAATCCCAATTGTGAATAAAAAGATCATTCATTAAAAAGTATAAGACAGTTTATTATCATCCATTGAACATATTCTCACCGCAACAAAGTCTTCCATTGGAAAGCTTGAGAGTCTATCATCACAGGACTGTGCAAAGCAAAACGAGGAGTACAAAATATCTGCTAGCAAGCTTTTGCCTTAATTTGTCCTACTGATCCTGGAAACAAAACAAACTGAGTCGAATTTAGTGAGTTACTTCAGCATAAGGCATAATACGAAATAGAATATTGGCATAAATATAAACTGATTACATGAAAATCACTTCATTTACTATATTCATCGATTAACTAAATTTCAAACATACAACAGCTTCTGGCAGCAAAGGTTCGTAAGCACATGCCCAACTACCAGTAATCTCCACAAGAGCAAGCTCCATCGTGAAAATGATGGTAGCGGATAGGATCCCTGATAACGATGCATCTATTTTCCATTTTGGCCAATAGTTTAGCAAACACATGACAGTCCCCACATATCCTGAGATTTTTTCTAATCCTTATGGTCTTCTTTTTTGGTAAGCTCATCATACCAAACATAATTGCTAGTTTCTCACTATGGTATAAAAGTGAACTTTCACTCTGCTCCCCTTCTAGGTCTTGCAAGACAAAATTTGTGTCTGGCACATAACCCATTTCCTTTAATCTCCAAATAATTTGGTTCAACTTGCTAGAAATCTCATCTATTTGTGGGTGGGATTTATCACCCAATATGAAAGCATGAATTTGCTTATTTATCTCAATCCAGCTACAACCTGGTTCCTTCTTGATTCCTCCATCCCTCATGGACCCCCTTACTTGTGCAACATCTTTCCATCTCTGAGAGTTTGCATAGATATTGGACAACAATATGTAGGTTCCTGCATCATCAGGATCCAGTTTTAATATCTGTTTGGCAGCACACTCAGCTAGGTCCATGTTTCTGTGAACTCCACAGGCACCAAGCAACGTTCTCCATATCACAGCATCTGGTTCACAATCCATCTCGTGAATTAGTTTCATTGCTTCGTCAAGCTTCCCAGCTCTTCCCAGAAGGTCAACCATGCAACCATAATGCTCCCTTCCCGGATCAATGCCAAAAAGCTTCTTCATCGATCTGAAGTAATATTGCCCATCTTCTACCAGCCCAGCATGACTGCAAGCAAACATAACTCCCAAAATAGTTATGTAATTTGGTTTGGTCCCTGAAACTCTCATTGCCTCAAACAACTCCAGAGCTTTCCGACTGTAACCATTCTGAGCAAAGCCTATTATCATGGTGCTCCAGGAGATCACATCTTTTTCAACCATCCGGTTAAAGGTACAGTTAGCATCATGCAAACTACCACACTTACAATACATGTCTATAAGTGCATTATTAAGGACCAAGTCTTGATCAAACTTAATAACATGAACATGGACTTGTCGACCCAATTCCAACAGAGCTAAACTAGTGCAAGCTCTCAATACACTAGTTAAAGTAGACTGGTCAGCATAGTAACCAAAACTCTTCATTCTTTTAAAGAGGTTTAAAGCTTCATCACCATCACTATTCTGGGCAAACCCACCAATGATGGAGTTCCAAACAACCAGATCTCCTGTCACCATTTCATTGAAGACACATAGCGCAGCTTGCAATTCACCCCATTTGGAGTAGATATCAATTAAAGCACTTCTGACAAAAACATCAGACTCAAGACCAACCTTAATTATGCTACAGTGAACCTGTGCAAGGTTGCACAACCCCTTACAAGCTCTCAGAACAGATGAATAAGTGTACATGTTGGGCCTAACTCCATCTCTGAGCATTTGAATCAACATCTCCAATGCCTTTTGACTAAACTCTGAGTTAGAATAAGCAGCAATCATTGTTGTCCACGAGACAACATTTCTTTCAGGCATTTGATCGAACAAGGTTTGCGCTTCATCCAACATATTAAACTTGACATACATGTTTACCAGTGTATTAATTAGGAAAGTCTTGGGCTCATAGCCATTGGAAAAAACGTGCTGGTGGACTTGTTTGCCTTGTATGATGGCACCACGAGCTATGCAGCACTTAATTAGCTCTGCATAAGTAACTGAATCAGCCCATATATGATGTTTTTGCATAAAGTCTAAAGCTTTCATGGCTTTGTCAAGATCCCTTTGATAGCAGTATGAAGAGAACGCATTGATTAACTGATTAGCTGATGGTATATTTAATCCAATCCTCCATTCCATTGCTGCTGCAGAACAGAAGCTTGATCGTTGAAGATGGATTCTTAACAGGGACAAACTGACCAAAGGTTCAAAAATCTGGGAGGGCATGCCATGGAAATTGAATATCGATATGGGTTTCATAATCGAATACCAATTTGTTTTGAATCTGCAAACAAGAAAATTTAATCAACACTCATTAAACTTTAATATTATTACTACTTACTCACTCAACTTTAACCCCATGCTCATTTATCTTTCCTTATAATTATAAATTACCCACCCACCACTCATTTAACTCTCGTCTCTCCACATGGAGAAATCAAGCGTGGTAATATATTCTGTTAAATGTTTACAACCTGGAATATCAAGATCAACAACACTTTGATCAATCGACAACTGCAGATAGTAAGAAATCCTCATAATGGTGAAGTAGAATTGGATAGTACGAAAATGGAAATTGTATAAACTCAGACTAACTTCGCCGGGGACTTTTGGAATCTTACCGAGGATGCAGAAAAGGAAACTGGATGTTCCAAAACCAACCACGCATACCCTTCTCCAACCTAATTCAAATTCGTGAAAGGTTGGGGTTGAAGAAGATGGATCCCAAGAGAACTCACCATCTTTGATTTCTGTGCCTCCTGCTGCTACGCCTTCTAGAATATTTGGGAAGAAGCTGTTGAATTAATAGAGAGATGTTTCTTCCTGCTCGTCTGCAAATATGTAAAATCTTGAAAGAGCGTTGTTCATAGCGAACGCTTAAATTTCACTTCTGGGTCAATACGATAGCAATAATTTTGAAAAATTGGAGTTTTTAATGGTGATTTTTTTGGAACGTACCGTTCAAAATCAAGTAAAAATTTTGAATTTATATGTAAAATATTTTATTTTGTACACCTATAATTGAAAATGATTATAGAAATTAAAGAATTTTATTTTAAACACACACAAAGAAGGGCTTAAATAAATGACACCGAGGTCACTAACTTTAAGTGAAATTTCATTTTAGTCATAAACAAGGACTAAGGTCCCGTTTGGTACACATTAATTTAAAAATAAGAATGAAAAATATAGTCGTTATAGATTCCACATAAGAGATAGAAAGTCAAATATGATGGCTTGATATGATGGATAACGATCATATTTTTCATTTTAATGGAAAAATAATGGGAAACAGACGGGGGTTAAATTTCATTTATTTTAAATAGATCTCTCTTGCTTCAATTAGGTACCGTTTACATCTTCGTTAGCATTTTTACTGTTTGTTTGCTGGCTTCTGTTATTTATTTATTTTTTTTCTCACGTGATTGGCAGTGATGTTGATGGCATGGAAACAAATGAGAAGCGATGCGTGGGACAAGATAACACGACATCATTTTTCCATTTTTTCTTTAATTTTCATTGTAATTGAAAATAAGAGTATTGTCATTGATGAAATCTCATCTTTCTATCCCTAGTGCTTCCCCAGCATATCAAACCTGCGCAAAGAGAACGAAATGTGTGCGTAATCCAGTGCTTAAGTTGCTAATCAAAATATTATATAAGATAATGTGGTGAATACTATATAGGTTAATAAGAGTTGTGCTGTGTGTACACAATGGTGTACACACGGGCTTACACCCCCTCACATGATAGGGGGCCCACATGTAATATAATATTCTTGGGCTCACCTCCATGTGAGAGGGGGTGTAAGGCTGTGTGTACACCATACACACAACATTTTCTGGTTAATAAAGACTTTCAATTCCCAAACTTTGAGTCCATTTTGTTTATCTCTTCACCACTGGACAGGTGGCTATACAAGGGCGGATTTAGTGTGGGGTTAGCTGCCTCCAAACTAAATTTTAAAATATCCTTTGAATAGACTAACATATAGCCTTTGTACAAGTATTGATTTTTGCCACACTGTAGCAAACCCACATTTTGCCCCCACGATTTAACAATCCGAGCTTCGTCCTTATAGCTATAGCACTACTTTTCAACTTCTCTGTAACCACCATTTTCATCAAATGTTAACCCACCACTCCTCCGTCTCTTTTCACCAAGTCTTAAGGGGGTGTTTAAGGCCACAAGTTGTGTTAAAGGAATGTTTGAGGTCTATGGGTTTTAAGGGAGAAGTATTTCATGATAACAATATTACACTACACAAAGTACAACTCTAATATATCTTACATTATAGATTGTACGATAAATTTTGTATATTAAAATATAGAAATTGTTACAAATTATATTTTTGATAAACATAAGTGAATGCTGATTTTTTTCTGTGACTGCAAAATTGTAAGATCTCCTGATTAATGATTTGAAAGTTTGAAGACGACAACCAAATTTTGTTAGAAACTCGATTTGTTGGGAAATTGGCTTATTTGGCACTTGATATTGTCTTAAACTTCAAGCTTTGGATATGAATTTTGGGATATGGACTTAAATTGCTTTGATTTGAAAATGATTTTGATCTTTTGTACTCATCTTGGATTTGCTTGATTTGAAAAAGACTTCGATTTTCTCGGTGTTTCTTGGACTTAGGCTTGAAAGAGTTTTTTCTCTTCCTTAGGCTTTGAAATATCTTCTACACTTGTGATTTTTCTCATGCACCTTTCACTCGTAATTTTTTTCATGGACATTTAGTCTTATTTGTAGAGAAAATTTTTAACTACTTTTCATAACCACTCCATTATCTTAAATCAAAAAATAATTAAAATAGTTGTGAATTTTGAGAAGTAGGATGGGCCTCTTTCACGGACTTCTTTTAAGTGGTCTTTAGTAAACTTTAATTTTAGTGGAAATTACACAATTTTCTGCTTTAAAAATTCACAATTCTAAAATAAGCTGGTAGTTTAATCTTTCAAAAATCAGATGTTTTATTTTAATTAATAATTTTTAAAATAAATATTTTTACTAACTATATATACTCCATTACGCACTCTCACTCTATTCCCTAAAGAAAACGCAGATGCATGTGGTGTGGTGGTTGCGTGGTGGTAGATGTGGTGTGGCGGTGGTGTTTTTCATGGTGTGGCAGTGTGTGACGGTGGTGTAGGCAGCGTTACAGTTCCAGGTTGTAGCAGCGTTCACGGCATGGCTGTTGGGTATCGATGTGTTCGTCGCACACGATCATGGTGGTTTTGGGGTGGTCGAAGTGAAAATGGATGTTGCAGCAACGTTTGAGGCATTGATTAGTGCGGTGTTCGTAGCAATATTCGCGGTGGTTTTGAGTAGTCGATCTGAAAATGGAAGCAGCAGCAGTGTTTAAGGCATTGATATGTGCGATGTTTACCATGATAGTGGTGGTGGGTTGTGGTGGTTAAAGCTATGGTGTTGTTGGTGTTACAGTGGTGGTGTTATTTGTATCGTGGTAGTGGTGTCGACGACAGCGGCTGGTGGCAGTAATTGTTTGATGATGGGCACAGATTAATTGGGTTGATTGTGACTATTAAATTAATTAATCTGTAACCAATAAGAAAGATAAATTGTGACTAGAAAAATAATGTGTGATCTAAAAAATCAATAATTTGTGACTATTTAATAAGTTGTGACATATAAATAAATTGTAACGTATAAATTTTTAATCTGTGACCAACGAACAAATTTGTAACCTACAAAAGTTTTGAATTGTGATCATAAAATAATTTTGACATAAAAAATTTTGATTTGTGACCGAAAAATAATATTTGAGTAATTAAATTATGAATCTATGACCAAATTGTATAGATTCGTGACTTTAATATGTTTAATTAATAAAATATATAGTTAATTAATTAAATTATAAATAAAATTTAATGAATATCTGATTTTTGAAATTTGAAACTTGTTTTCTTAATTTTGAAATGTATGATACTTAAATTCTTAGTTATGAAAGTTTCCCTTAATTTTAATAAGCTTAATTGGGTTAATTATTCAAAATCGACCCAATACGATAATTATTTCATTTTATTTTTATATATCTATAAATGCCCCTCAAAATTTATTTATTATGAAATAAATAAATAGATAAATCTTGAATTTTAAATTTTTGTTTTTTATTAAAAGTTGCCAATTTTTTTTTATTTTAAAAAGAAGGTAATTTCAGCACTTTCAAAACCTGAAATTATTTAGAGTTTAGTCCCTATTTGGTCCCCATTAATTTTCATTCCATTACATTTCATTTTTCTCTCCCCTATTTTCAACCACATAATCTTCCATAAAATAATATTATACATAAATAAAAAAATTTCCTTCTTTTTTAACCACTCATTTTTCAAAAAAGTACTATTTCACCAATTAATTTTTCCATGTAAGGGGGGCCAAACGGGGGCTTAATTCAAACTAAAACTCATTTTCAATTTATCTCCTATCCTACACGTCTTTCTTAAAGAGAATATGTTCACATCTCAACATTTTGTCTTTGTTAGACTAATCCTTATTAAGTATGTTACTTTTAAAAAAAATAATAAAAAAAAAATAAAAAAGACCATCTACTGGCTAAAATAGGCTCCACATGATTTGTATCATGAACTCGACAATTTTCTTATTTACTTTGGATTCAAAAATTCCAAATTAGACACTTCTTTTGTTGGAAAATACGGATCATTCATCGTCCATGTGGGATGACCTAACCTATAAGACAATAAAGTAGGTGGATGGAGTGATTTGAATTTGAAATTCGAATCCACAACTTCCTAATATCCTCCCTTAACTCCCCAAATAACCTCCAATTAATTGTCAAGAAGAAATGGAGAGAAAAATAGAAGAAAAGATGGTAAATTTCTTATGAAAATTATCACCTAAATTGATAGGTAACCATTTTTGGCAAAGAATCTTACAAAAATTGGCACTTAGATTGTGGCTAATAACTTACTTTCATTGTGGTCGAGATTGGAATCACTGAAGTATAAGAAAAAGTATGACTTTAAGTTTGGTAAGCAAGATGTTTCAATCATTTAAAAAAATCTTGAAATTTATCATTTTAAGTTAGAATTATTGAACCGAATTAATGTTCGAGCATGCTGCAAATATTTACTTTGGTATCAAAGCCTTAAAGGTTGCTTTCGATGCTTATATCTTGTTGCATGTAGAGTTAAAGTGATGGAAAATGCATGTATGACAATTTTCTTTTAAGCTTGAAATAACATTAATGGCAAGTTATGAAATACTTCATATAAATTCATGAAATTTATATCATATGCTCTTGTTAATATGTAGAACATTTTTACAAAATTTCACTTCCAAACTTGTTCAAATACCTATGTTCACAACCACCAGTCTTAGACGATGATATGTATTTATATCATATGTATTGCCTTGGACGATGATATTAAATATAGATAAATCATTGGCCTTCTTTGGTACTTACTTATTACTAGACTAGTTATTACTTCATATAAAAATTTCCCAATTCATGCATCGTTTTCACCTCCAAGCATTAGATTTCCTTCAAATGTCTCTTGAGAATATACACATGTAGCAATGTGTCATATGTCATTGTCCTTTAGAGGTCTTCTCAATCCAATTTTTAGTCTTTCTTTGTACTGGCCAAATAAAGCCAACGATCGATCTTCCACCAGTCCTCACATTGTCTTTCTTGGTCATAATCCCATTGCTTGGTTGTCTCACAAGCGACTATATTGCTCATTCTTCCACAAAAGCAGAATTTCTTCTTGTTGTCACTATTTCATTTGATGTTCTCTTGATTAAATCCTTACTACTGGAGCTCGGTGCTCACCTATAATTCAATTACCTATCCTGAAAATGTCAGCACAGCCTATCTTTATTTTGAACATTAGCATGAAGCACATTGAGATCGATAGGCACCTTGTTAGTGATAA